GTTATTCCTTGGTCCATAGGTACTTAATTGCCACAATAAGATGATAAAGAGGTTTAATTATCCTGCTAAAACCGTTTATGAATTGCCAATAGAAGTTACAGAATCCTAAGAAAGACTGTAATTCTTTAACAGTCCTAGGCTCTTTCCAGTCCCTCACGGCAGCAATCTTGGCTTGATCAACTGATATGCCACTGGTTGATATTATATATCCCAGGAATTTTGTTGATGTGACAGTAAACTCGCTCTTCTTGATGTCAGCCTGGAGGCCAGCTTCACGGAGCTTCTGGAGGACCTTGCAGACATGGTCCCAGTGCTCCAATGGGTCTGCAGAAAAGATGAAGATATCGTCCACATAGGCTGTGCAGAACTCGTCCAGATATGGGAACAAGGCTTTGTTAATATACCACTGAAAGGTACTTGGGCCGTTGCAAAGTCCAAAGGGGAGCACCTTGTACTTGTACTGGCCAAAGTGCGTGCGGAAGGTCGTGAGATCCTCAGAGGCTGGATCCATGCGGATTCGGTGGAAAGCCGCCCTGATATCCAGCTTGGTGAACAGCTTAGCATAAGATAGACGTTCCAAAGTTTCGCTGATTAGTGGCAGCGGGTAGCGGTCCTTTTTTGACTAAGCATTGAGCTCGCGGTAGTCGACACAGAAACGCAAGCCTGTTGGATTCTGGGCTACGTTAGCCCATCCATAGTCATCCTTCAGGATCACCATCCCCATCTGTGACTCTGTCATATACATGGCCAATATAAGGCCACGTATCCTTGCCTTTAGTATCTTGGATATATAGGGCCACTCTGGCCGCTCCAGAGTAGCTGGAATTCCTCTCCTTAGATAGAACACTTTGAAATCTCACAAAGCCTCTATTTAGCTTTTTGGCAAAGAGAACAGGGGACCCATACTCTGCTCCACTGGGAACAATTCATTCCTTGCACAAGTGTTCCGTCAGATATTGCTTGAGGGCAATAAAGTGGTCAGCCTTCATGCTATATAAGGGGTGCAGGCGAAGAGTCTTGGCCCCTGGCTTGAGCTCGATCTTGTGGTCAATATTCTTGCGGAAAGGGGGTAACTTATTGCTTTCTGTCTTAGAAAATATATCTATAAAATCTTGTGCCTCTGTGGGAAGCCTGCTGCGTAGCAGGTGCTGAGTCTCTGAGTCCTCTTTATCAATAAAGTAATCAATGGCTTGATCAAGCTTATATACCGAAAAGGAGAACACATTTCCGTAGCTGTGTCGTTAATGTTGCCCCTTCTGATAGTGACTAGCCCGTCTAAAGAAGGTACTTCCTGAGACTAGGTGGATATCCGCGCCCAGAGCGTTCAATATTGCGTCTTTGCTAACCTTAGGATGAACAGCCTGGCGTGGGGAAGTCTTTTGTAAGGATGCCGGGCGGTCCCGTCCGGCTAACTGGTCTTCTATAGCCTGTAAGAACTGATGATGGTCTCTTGCCCATATAGCCAGCACTTGGGGGCAAAGTAGTATCTTCTGCGGGCGTTTCTCTTGATCTTCTCATTGTGAATCTCTATAGAGCATGTCCTGCTGGGCCTGAGGGTTGATAGCCCGTTGTCTTAACCACTGGCGAGCTGGGTTAGTGATGTCGGTCTTCCAGTTGGTAAGGAAAGGTAGTTCTGGTGGGAAATATAGGCGGTTCCGCCGGCAGTCTGGTAGGAGGTTGTGAGCAGCCAAAAACCGCTTGCCAACAATAAGGTCAAAGTTCTTGCTGGGTCCAAACTCTGCTTCTAGGATAGGGGCTTCCCAGAAGGTTCTTCCCTGAATCTGGAAGTTTGCTGCAATTGCTGTGTTGACAACCTGTGAATGTCCCTTGCCAAAGCCATTCAGGGTGGCGGGCTCATCAAAATGTCTTTGAGGGAGTTTTTATCGTTGAGCCAAGGGGCTCATGATTAAACGGCTGCCTAAAAGGTAAACCTCTGCTCCGGTATCAATCAAAACTTTCACACGCACTATAATTCCATTCCATCAGATGGTTGCAGTCATCACAAAGGTACTGCCGCCAATCAAGCCAGAGAGGTCTGATCGAAGTGATAGAATTTCAAGAGAGTGGTGAGCTAGTTGATTAATAGTACATTAGAGGCCTAGGTAAGAGACTTTCCCTAGGCCTTTGAGTTTTCCGACTCGTTGTCAGAAGTAACATCCTGGGTCAGACCAGAAGAGGCCCTATTGTCTTCTTCCAAAAAATGTACATAAGGAGTTCTTTTGTCTGGACATTTGGGAGCGATATGGCCCTCTTTGCCACACAAGTAGCATGTAATGCTTTCTGCCTTGTGGGGTGTGCGTGATCGGTCAATGTGCTTCCTTTCAGGGGCTGCAAAGAGACGCGGAGTCTTCTGATCAGGTGATGCTCTTGCTGGTTGGAAGGTAGTGTCAATCGCTTGGTTGGACAAAGCTTGGGTTGGTAGGCTTCTAATGAACTGTTGGGGTCCAGGTGCCACAGTGATGATATGGCGAGAGGGAGCTTTTAAGAAACTTTGGCGCTGTTTCTTGACTTATTCAGTCTCTACAAGCTGTTAAGCATTGCTAGAACAGATATTTCAAAATTGGTTAAAAGAAACATTAGAGTCAAGGTAAGAAGTCATCACTTGTATCCTCAGGGGTGGTGTCAGTTTTCGGTTCAGTTCATACTTCCATTCTGTCTGGGATAGGCCTGTCTTGCTGGCTAAGAGAACCCATGTGGAACAAAAGGAGTAAAAGTCTTGCGCTGGTTCCATCCACAGATCATAGAGCTGATCTCTGGCTTGAATAGCTGTGTCGAGATTGCTGTAAGAGGACCGGAGAAGGTCATACACCTCTTCAATGGTAGTAAGTAACTCAGCGTTCTCTTCAGAGATGAATGGTTCCAATGTTATAACTATATTACCTTTTATTAGCATACAAAGCCAGTCAAACTTTGATTTTTTGTGGTAAAGAGCCACCAGTTGGTCCGTAGTTTGCGTTAAGTGCTGTTTTTTTACTGTTCAAAGGTTGGGTTTTGACCGTTACTTAGCTTTACAGGGTCTGCCAGCTTGATGGAATGTCGCATGGCATTTGAGGTTGATGCCATAGAAGCTAGGGAGTCCCACTTAGGGGTCGTTGTGTGTGGAGAACCTGTTTCTAAGGAAGGAAAGGCTCGTTCTTCTTGTGGTGTGCTGAAATGCATAGACTGTCGTTCTGTTGTGGGCCTTGGTGGCTCAGACCTCGGGATCCGGGTGTGTAGTTCGGTTTGCAGTCTGGCTAGCTGCTCTGGCGTAAGCGCATCCAGGTTGAAGAGCAAGGGGTCGTTTGATCGGCCTAGAGCACCGCTCATGGTTGGTGCCATGGGCTGGATCTGTGGGTCCTGGGATGTGATCCTGGAAGAAGATGGAGACGATGAAGCGTTTGAGGAAGATTTGCTGTGGGTCAAAGCGGCTCTTGATCGCGTGTTTGGCTTGCTCTGGCCCCCTCGTGCCTTGGTTCTCTGTTTCTTTGGTTCTTTCTTTGGGGGAAGGTTATTAGTGTTGGGGGATGTTTGGATAGGTCGGGCTGGTCTTCCAGTCCCTTCAGAACTATCCTGACGTTCTGGAATGATAATGGTACTCATTGTCACGGTGTATTGGACGGAATTGGTGGTAATGGTAGGTGGAATGGTAAAGGGATGGTATTAATAGGCCTGAAGGCAGAGCTTCAAAGCCTTAAGATAAGTGGGTGTTCAGAGACACTGCACCTGCCACCGCTAGAGGCAAAACTCCTTGCAGTGGTGATCTGAAGACAAGGCTTCTGATCTGGTATCGATGAGTCTTGATATTATGTCACGGCAAGCATACTGAGGAGCTGGGACATGGCCTGCAGCAAGCAGCTATTATTTTATTGATGAGAATATCAAGATTAGAGAGGAAAGGAAGAGAGAGAGAGAGATAGGTACAGTGGGAGGTTGTCCCTTTAAGGGGATCCTCTGGTCAGATCCTTCCCCTATTGAGAAGTATCCGCTTGTCATGTGGGAAGGTCTGTGCAGGCCGTCACAGACGCAATACACAACCATGTCCTGCGCGCGCGCCAGATCTTGCTGGCTTCTCTATCCTCACTCACCACGGCTTAGTATCAACAAGCTTCCACTGATAGCATTTACTGACGAGGTGTTTTGCTGTCCTAGATGCCTCAATGCACCTATTCTAACAAATCGGTGCTGTTCAGCAACGAGAGTGATTGAGGTGGGATCCAGTCAGATGCAAGCGAGATGGTCTGTCTTCTGGGTGGGTCATATGCCCTGTGTGTCTCTGCCCCACTGGAGATCTTCCGGTGTCTATTTATGGCTCCTATCCAACAGATGATGACAATGAAATAATTGAGACGGATTGTTCCTGGAAACCTAAACAGTACCCCGCTATTAGTGGGCTGTGTACCGAATCATGGGTACTAGAGTTGAGTGCCAGAAACGGCTAGTTTCTGGTGGGACACCGTCTGATTAGGTAGTTATACCGTCTGCTTAGACATTCCGCTATATCTATTGTTGTTGCTAACTAGGAGAGATATACGTAGCATACTAATGAAAGTGGGCAATACTAGTCACTAGTGGTCACCGGACCACGCAACAGTCTCCGGACGTATCTATACGATAGATATAAGGACTTGGGATATGTCCCTCACATAGATAGCTAATCAATATGAGATTTCAAAGTGTTCTATTAAGGAGAGGAATTCCAGCTACTCTGGAGCGGCCAGAATGGCCCTATATATCCAAGATACTAAAGGCAAGGATACGTGGCCTTATATTGGCCATGTATATGACAGAGTCACAGATGGGGATGGTGATCCTGAAGGATGACCATGGATGGGCTAACGTAGCCAAGAATCCAATAATCAATACCAACCACCCTGAGTTGTATTCAAATTCATCCCTGGGGGCAGACAACAACGCGCATTGGGTTACCGCATTCATCGAACCCAAGATTTTCTGGTTGCCGGAGTGCGTCGTTTCCTGTATAGATGTGGCAGTCCCAAGCATGATTGGCCTGCGAATAAGTCTTACCCAAACACTAAGTACTCATTAGTATAGATACAGTGAGGGTCTGAAGAAAGTTTAACTAACTGATCCGACATCACAAGGAACATCCATGCTATTATGCATCTCAATGCGCTCACCCTCGTCGACTTGAACTCTGCAAATGTTGCCAGGGTAACATTTCTATAACGGAAGAAAGACCAAGTCAGCCTGTAATGCCGCTTTATAGGACTTATTCACGGGGATCCAATCAGCACTTACCCCCACCCATAGGTGACGGCGTTCAATAGTGCTTCTCTTTTGAATCGCGGACTTCGGGCACTTTTGGTCGGACTCTGATGATGATGAATCATGTCTGGCTCCGATTGCAGGTTCGATATTGGGGTGAGAGGCACCGTTGCCAAAGATGGCCAGACCAGAGACGAGTATGAGCGTGGAGACGTGCATTGTAGATTGTTGCGGCGGGCTGTAGAAGATGTTGCTGGTGTATGGGCAAGTCTGAATGGATTATAGCTTTGAGGGTGAAGTTTGGATAGCTAGTAAGGACGAAGAAATAGCAAGACGAGCCGTCTTTTATTAACTGACCAACGGGGCCCCTTCGCTCCTTAGTGGCTGTATGTGTCATAAAAATAAGTTTCTAATGTATACCCCGTTCATCATTACGCGGATGCTCAGGGTTGTGGTCTTGCAATGATCTAATGCTTATCAGGAACTTGTCCGGAACTTTTGTCAGGAACTTTTGTTAGGAACTTGTTAGGAACTTATTCCTCCGCAGCTGCCAGCGAGCCAGGGAAAGCCGCCTTCCTGCTGGGTCACCGAGGAAGCGGCAGGATGCGTGTACGGGGGTCCCGCGGGGATAGTCTTTGTTTATCAGTGACATCACGAAGATCACCATGATGAACATCAGTCTAAAAAAAACCTCTTTGTCGCCACAAAAGCCTACTCGTTAATTTATAGTTACCGAGTTATAGTTAGCAGCACTGTACCATAAGTTATGTCGCCTAAAACCAGTCCACATCCTCTATGTCCACCCCTTAATAGCCCCAGGTGTTAGGGATATGGTCTTTTTTCCAAGCCGCTATCCCGAAATCACAAGGACCAAAGTACTGCCCAAAGCTCTCGGTCGCGCCCGTAGGAGCCTTGTTCTTGATGTCAGATGATGCGTCATGATCCCAAGTTTGCTACCTTTCACGGAGCCTACTAAAATCACAACCTTTAATTTAACAGCCAGAACGCATTCCTAGAGGAGAAGCAGGTCCAGCTATTCAAACGCTTTGCCCATGTCAGTATTTCGCGGGATCCCCGCGTAGTAAGAGACATGGTCCCTGAGGATATATGGAATAATCTCCCACCAGACCCCGAAATCAGCGAGCTCAAAGCGATACGTGCCAGACTTAAGGGCGGCCAGTATCGATTTGTCAGTAATGAGCATAAAGCCAAGATCTCCTTAGCCATTTCAAGCCCACAGCCACAGGGGCCATATTTAGATATGGCACAACAGAGAGCCAAAAGATGATGGCGGGTGGTTCTACTTCACCCAATAGTGAGTTTTTTTTGCTACACGAGTTGAACGCCAGCAAGGTAGGGGCGCATACCAAGCCAAATTAGCCACATTCAAGCAAAGAGCGGGAAACGTCCGATACAGAGGGGGGGAACTTGTAACGGCCGGTCGTGGTAGAGACTGTGTAGGTCATCATGCCCGCCTGACATGAGTATGTGCACGACAGGAGACGAACAGAGCTGGTCGCTGGAGGGGGCCCAGGGGTCATGCTCTTTTTAGTTTGAGTCGGTTAGTGTGCGAGTGTGACGGCGAGGAGCCCCAGTGTAGAAGAGCCACAGTGGTACAGTTGATCGGTCGCACGGCTCCTAATATCGTGTCCATGAGTCATCCTGATGCTGCCTTCATCAGAGGGACCTAAGAATAAGGAATACCGGCGTCACGTAAGAGAAGCCGAGAGGCGGCTGAGAATGATTGGTCATGAGTGGCTATGATCCATAACATGCAGTCAACATACTGACGTGGCATGCAGCATGGCCACATCCACAGGGAGTAATACTCTCCTGACTTGGGATTTAAAAAGCTGGTCTTGGCAGACAAATGATTAACATAGACACGGGTTCTTGTCCTATGCGCAGCAGCTTCCGTGAATACCTTCTGGCCTTGCTTAATCCATGACCTCATATTTCAGGCGTCTTAGGTGAGCTCGTATTAGGTTGGCAGCGCAAATGGGAATGAATTGAAGCGCTGGGTCCGCGGCAGGAGAGCCTTCGTACGGAGGCGCCGTTCGACGTGAGTGCTTCTAGTCTAGAGACTGGTGATAATATAATATCTCCAGATGTGCGTCTTCGGGCGTGCTATTGTGCCTTCGTGGTAGTGCCTTCCAGAAGGGTGATCAATCACAAGGCTTGGTTGTGATTGGTCTGTCTTCTGAAAGGTTGTTGTTTTTCCAGGATGGGAGAGGGTCCCGTCCAGGATGTAGATATATACCTAAAGTACAGCTGATGGGACAACCACTGGAATACAGTGGAGTCCACTGAATGCCAGTGGATGGATCCACATTACCCCCCCCCTCTGTTGAGAGTCGTCCGCGACTCTCCCAAATTCACGAATTTCACGCCTGGAGAGCTTTTCTGGTGTTTCTGCAGCCAGAAGAGCTTCTTCGTCAGTCAACAGCATCTTCTCGAGCTGTTTTCTATCGTTCTCCAGCATGGTCTTGCTCGCGTACCATAAGGAACGAACGGGGTGGCCATCGTGTACGTAAGCAGGGAAGAGATTGGTGCCATTGTACTTGTTTTGCAGTTCAATGCCCCCTGGGCTGCGTACCTTGTACGTGTTGACAGCGTGGCAGCTCACAATAGCCCAGGGACCATCATAAAAGGGTTAGGGTTTTGGAATTCGCGATACATCTGGCTCTTGATATCGCCATTTGCCTGTTCAACCTTGCCGTTGCCTCGTGGTCTAGCTGGTGCTCTTAGGTATCACCTTATGTACTCTAGTGGCTACGGCCCAAAAAGACACACAAATTCCCCAACCCTAACAAGAGATTCATGAATATAAGTTACCGAAGATACTGCAAGACTCAAGCCACTGTCGTTCCACTAGTTCATCGCAATCGAAGAGAGTGGACTAAGCGTGAGCGTAACCGCTGTAAGAGAAAAGGACACTTATAGCTGGCCACATCGCCTTGCGAGCATCTGCTTTTACAAGCCTGTTTGCGCGCTCCGTGTCTCTCCAGAATCCCTATCGCCTTAGGAATGGACCCTGATCTCGTCCCCTTTAACACTGGGGGAGGCCTTGTTACTACTCAAGGTGTTGGTTACGTGGAGATCCCCTTCATCACCTCCGGTGGCGATACTGTCCCTCGTACGCTCCCTCAAAGAGATAACTTTGCACGGACAACAGTGGGTTTCCAGGAGCAAGGACCTCAGAATCGGGCAGCTAATCCGCTAACCACAATGTCAAATTTACCACGGCTCATCAGGTAATGTTCATATAATCATGCAGTGCTAAAATTGGCAATATTACTTGGCAACCACTCCTTACGATCCAATGGAATGACGACTGGGGAGATTAAAAACATGCATGCGATCCGAGGGTTGCTTGTTCACTAATTATAAAGGCCACCAAGTCACCCCCTCGACTCGTATTACCGCTTTTCAATTGTCTTGATCAAAACCTCTCACCTCATACTGCTACCAACTCTCTAATCGTCTTGGCCAACCAACACTTCACAACCCAGCTTGCTTTATGAACCTGCATAGCAATGGGTTACCTCAATTAGGAATGCCACGAATGCGGTCAATACAATACTTTAGGTACCTCAACGTGTGTGAATGAGACATGCAAGCACCCAATCTGCTTCAAATGCGCACTCCGGGATTAAATAGAGGTATTAATTTCAAATGTATCAATTAATTGATAATCTCTCTGCTAACATATTATACCTACTAGACGCTCGATAAAGTCTTCATGCAGGAATGGAAGGAAGCCGTTACCCACCCCAATGCTGTGATAAGAGTATGGATAGGAAGGGAGGATGTTGGGATGGTGTTGTGGATATCGGTATTTGCTAGCTCTGGCACGGCGGGATGTTGCGGAGTTTATTGATAATTCTGTAGCTATTAGTGGAAATAGGAGGAATATGTTGCACAGCAAGGAGGCCAACAGGTTGCTGACATGCTGTATTGGTGTTGTTGTTGTTGTTGTTGGACTGGAGGTGGTGCGCAGCTGCAGTGGATGCGGGCAATATGCCAGCCTAAGTGGGTCACCTGACCACGCAACACACCCCCGTTGGCCACTACAACTGCTGAGAAGCAGCAAAGTGAAGCCATCACAACTGTATGTGGCTCCATAATACGTACATTTGTTGGTGTTGAGCATGAAATCTGCCTTCATAGCAAGATAACCCCCATTCACCTCTTTTCATCATATTTATCACTTGTGTTTTTAGACGTCTCTCCCATAGTCCTGACTTGCTGAAACAGCGCAAATTAACCACAAATGAGAATAAGGGTTGCCTACCATTGGCAGTAACCCAATCCGAGCTGTCTAAGGAATGCCTGATGCTTCTCCTTGTTCAACGGCTTCGTCAAACTCGTCTGCAATCATGTCATTTGTACCCACCTGTACGATCGTGAAGTATCCCATCTGGACTCGGTTGATGATACACTTGTAGCGCTTACCAATATGGCGGGTTCTAGCTGCATTCAGAGGGTTGAGAGCATTAGCTCTGGCATTTGCGGAATCCGTGTGAAGTACCGGTACCATTGGCTTGGGTTGCTTGTAGCCTTGTGCCTTTTGGGTAGCGTCACCAACGAACAGATCTATCACAGGTCTCGGTTATGATTGGTCTGTCTATCGGGTGGGTGCTTGTCTAAGATCAGGAGGTGGGAGGGAGCTAATCCTGATGTATCTATATACCTGTTGGTAGCCTAATAGATACCTGTTGCCATGGGCATCTGGCCAGGCAACCCTGCAGACCTGACGACTGCCTGTTGGCGGGGTCATGCCTGATACCTGATATGGATCACGTGCTTGGGATCCACAGCCTAGTTCCTCCAGCAATTTGGCAATCCAGATGGCTGTAAGACGATCAGGCGTGAGGTTGATGAATTCTGCCTCTGTACTGCTGGTGACCACAAGCAGTTGTTTCTTGGGATTTCCAGTAAATGAGACCACCACAGACGAAGGCGATATGCGCCCCTGTTGACTTTATGGAGCCTAGAACGTCTGCAAATGCAGCGTCCGCCCAGATTCTGATCTTCCGGTCGCCGATTGGGTGTTTTCCTCCCAGGGTGATGCCAAAGGACGCAGTGTTGGCCAAGTAACGCCAGAGATGCTTGAGTATCTCCAAGTGGGTCTTCAAGGGTTGGAATTGGCCTCACACAACGTGCTGACGGTCTTCACGATGTCAGGGCGTGTATTAGTGGAGGCGTAGTTGAGGGAACCAGTCTGTTTGAGATAACGCTTCTTCAGAACGTCTGAAACTGATTCCCAGGAAGGCGGAATCACAGTGTCTGTCTTCCAGGGTGTTCCCGTGTACTTGGTGGTCTCCTCGCCGTACTTGGACACAATCTTCTTGACGTATTCCTCTTGGTCAATGAACACCCGATTCGTATCAAGGTTCCGTCGAATTCGGAGTCCAAGGAACTTGGATATCAATCTCATCTCCTTTGAGCTCAAAGTGAGCGGCCAAGAGGTCACGAACGGGTCTCACAATCCTTCAAGTTTGTTTGTTTGTTGTTTGTTTTGTATTAACGTGTACAATCCTTCAAGGTAGGACCAGCGACCAGGATGTCGTCCACATAGATAAGAACCAGTACGCCCAGCTTCTCATGCTTGAAGAGACACATCTCTGTTGACATGGGGACGAATCCCAGCGTCCTTCATGACTTTGACAAGGGTCTCAAACCACCACAGGGGAGCCTTGCGAGGGCCATACAGAGCTTGGTTGAGCTTCCAAACGCGCTTGGTTCCATCAGAGGAGCCCTGGGGTTGCATACAGTAGATCTCGTACTCGTCAGAATCTGCTGTTGAGAAAGGCTATAACCATGTCGTATTGCAAGCCAACAGGGCCTGGCGCTTCCCATCAAGGTATGGGACTCCACCCGAGACATCACAGATCATTTTTCTACGATTCCAAGAACTCGCCACAGCACACACTCCTGGGGTGACCGTCAAGTGGATCCCTGGACACATAGATATCGATGGCAACGAAGCTGCTGACGTACTAGCAAAAGAGGGTGGCTTTGCGAGTCACGGAGACCTTGAATTCTGCCCTGAACCGACCTTATTAGATGGGTTAGATGACGCTGTCGTCTAAAAGGGGTGTGTCAAATGGCACGCAAGCCACAGTGGTGTTCAGGGAGGTGGCGGTGCACCGACGGGGTTCTAGGGCAATTTCGGGCCCTGTAGCTCAACAAGATCAACCAGAATACACACTCTCAACAAGATCAACCATAATACACGCTGTTTGACACCGGATGGCAAACCGTCCAAAACGACACACTGATAGTACAGGAACTGGACAAATCAGCTTGCCCCGGGATCTTCAGACCTTGAGAGGCTCAAAAGAAAACTTGCTAGTGGAGCTAGAATACACCGGAGCGAGCTCCCATCACTACCGAGAACTCACAAGGATCTACGAGACCACTTGATGGGTCGGGGTTCCAGGGGTGCAGAGAGAATGCCGTCATTTAAAAAGATGTTATGCAATATATAATTGACTATTTCATTATCGCAAGGGTAGACACTCTGGGAAATACGAGCTGCGGGTCATACAACCAAGGGCAGAGACGCCCCAAACAAGGTCGGACACACGCACTTACCAAAAACAACTATTTTTCTTTGGCGCCCCGCTGTTAGGGCGCAACCTCTATATCTGCACTAAAACAGGCATTTATTTCAGTACCTGACTATCCTTGCCAAGGCGCAGAAAGTTTTTCTCACAAGCTGGATGGCACCCCTTCACGATAGGCCCCCCAAATACGCCAGTGGCCGTATCAAAGACGACTACTGGCGGCGTGCTCAAATCCCCGGTCCCTAAAAGAACATATGGCCCGGCAACCCCAAGCAAGCTCCGCCGCAGGCACTGCTCGACGACATCAACAGCAGCCCGTCACAAGTCTCTGAGGCTGACTTCACCATTGTTTCCCCTCTGAAAGGAAAATCCCGAAATATTAATACTAGCAGCATCATTGATATGGAAGTACCTCAATCAAACGAAATCTCCTACAGACCAAGCCATTGGAGGGAGCAGATAGGGAACAAGGTCTCTTCCTCAAAGTGCCAGGACCAAGTAGCCAAAATACTGGCTAAAGACAAGCATCTCTATGAAGCCAGGATGACAATGTTTCAAGAGTGTGCTGCAGCAGTGGATAAGACACTGGAAAAAGCTGGAACCGAACTATACTCTCATGCCAAGGAGTTCAGCGCTTTCTCCCCTAAATGCCTGAACGAGTGGCTGGAAACCCGAGATCTGCCCAAAAGAAAGACCACTCCTGGCGGGATAGGGATAGGGAAGCCCACCATGACCTTCGCCCAAGCTGTCTCCTCTGGCCAAGGCGACAGCATCCATGGACAGTCAACACTACCATAAAGAAAACACAGCCTGGCGCCCTTATCACTGCCAACCAACTGAAGAAGAAGCAGGATGATCTCCGGGTCTTTGTCCGCATGGATAATAGCCACCTAGAGCCTTATGGAATCAAGTCTACACTGAACAAACGACTAAAGCTCCACCCTCAGGAGCTTAGAGAAGTGACACGATGTCCTTCTGGTTTTACCTTACACCCAAGGGACAAGCCAAACTCAGGCTAAGCTTCTGGCTTTCCAAGAAGAAATTGCCGACATTCTCAAGGCACAAAAGATTGAGACCCACACAGTCTGGCATCATTACAAGGTCAATGGATGCCCAAGAAAGGTCATCAGTGCAGAAGGGTTCACAATCGATATTACTTAGCACTGTTGTTGCCGATGAAGTTGAAGCCCAAACAGGCGACAGACCTCTGAGGTGCATACTCTCAAAGAACACGATTGATTCTGATCCAGAAACTACATGGATAATCTCTCTGCCCAGTGCAGCAAGGAAACCATTCACGCTTTTTGCCCACTCAATGACCTCAAGGCATATTCAACACACCCCCAAGGTTCACCAGTGTGCAAGCTGCTTCAGATACCATGGTAGGAATTACCGATGCGGAAAAAGCAAGTATGTGCACACTGCGCCAACACAGTACACCAGGGAGAGTGCGAAAAACATTCAATCCCAAAGTGTGTCAACTGCAAAGGACCTCATGCTGCCAACTTCGACAAATGCCCTGCCCGCCCCAAGGTTGTGAAAGGTACCATCCATAAGCACACATGGGAGCAAATCCAGGAAATAAGGCTAGCCGGAGAAAGAGCCAGATCCAAGGCCTTCAACGAAGCAGGCAGAAACCAAGCTGGGTCAACACCTAGCAATAATAACAAAGACACCACAATGCAAATCGACACAACAGATACAACTCATCCCAGAGATGCCGATACCATTGTTGTCAGTCAATGTTAGGTACATCAAACGAAACACATCGACACGGGCATCTAGTCATCCATTCTGTGAATACAGCAGGGGGACAAAAGAGTGCAGGCCCTACAGAGTTAGCCATCAACCTGGCTGACTATAAAGGAGAACAAGCAGACATCATTCTGATGCAAGAGCCCTGGGTTGGCATACCACCAGGCAGGAGAATGGGAGTAAAGACACACCCCAATTACGATATATACTCCCCAGTGGATTCCTGGGACAGCGACAGTACACGGCCCAGATCTCTCATCTATGTGAGAAAATACCTTCAAGCGGATCAACTTCGGCCCTATGCTACACGAGACATCACCTGGGTCAAGGTACAAGGCATTACATTTGCCAGTGTCTACCGGCCATGTGACAACCCACAGGAAGTGGATGACATTCTGGAAGTATGGACTCCACCTTTTGGCTGCGTTATAGCTGGAGATTTCAATGCTGGCGACACATCCTGGGACTCAAGCAATCCAGGATATCATGGTGGTGCTATACTTGCACAAACTATGGCAGACCATGGACTGGATCTGATTTCTGAACCAGATGTCCCGACACATGATGACGGAAATGTACTAGATCTGGTGTTCTCTGATGTCCCCATGGCTGAAGCCTCAGTCAATGATGCACTTCAGTGCACCTTAGATCATGAGACATTACGAATAGTAATTCCAATCCAGGGAGATCTGAACCCAGTACCCAAGGCCAATCATTGGATAGTACCGGACGATAAACTACAGGAGCTGGCAGATAATGTCCAAACCAGGATTCATGAACTCCCCCAGCTGGGTGCATCCCCTGGCCAGGTGGACCATTTTACACAAAGCCTGATCAACATGATCCAAGGCTGTATTAGGACAGTGGGCAAGAGGCCCCGTCAATCTAGGCCCACTGCTTGGTGGAATGATGACTGCAAAGCAGCTGTTCAGACATACAGGGCCCTTTCCAAACAGACTACAAGCCACGAAGGACGGAATTCAGCCCGACGGGAATTTCGCGGCGTGGTTGGGAAAGCTCCGAGAGAGGACTGGCAGACTCTAATCAATTCAGCAACTGAGCCAAAGGACCTATACAGAATCGTCTCTTGGCACAAGTTATCAGCAGGATTGCGTTCCCCTCCAATAATCATCATAGGAGACCAAATATTCGAGTCACAAGAGAGCAAGGCAAATGCATTACGCTCAGCCACGCTTGAACGAAGTACCTCAGACAACGATATCATCGACCCCTGGTCCGCTCAGATCATACAACCCAAGCCATACATCCCCCTTGAATACCACGTCGGACTGGAAGAGGCTGAAGGGTGCACTTTAGGAACCAAGAGCAACTCCCCGGGAGTAGATACCCTCACAGTACGGATTCTGAAAGCTTGCTGGCCAGTCATTGGTGAACATATCAGAGCCCTTTTCCAGACCTGCCTACTGATTGGACACCACCCTAAACCATTCAAAGTAGCTGAGGTGGTGATGATCCCAAAACCAGGAAAGAAAGACTACTCCAATCCCAGGGCCTACAGACCAATATCGCTACTGTCATGTCTTGGCAAAGGCCTAGAACGACTCATTGCGAAAAGAATTACCTGGTTTGTTGTCAAACTTGGAATTCTAGCCCCACAACATTTTGGAGCTCTACCAAAGCGCTCTGCCACTGACCTGGTAGCTGCACTCATACACGATATTGAGCCAGCCCCTGACCAAGGCCTCGTTGCAACGGTAGTCACATCAGATGTGAAAGGGGCCTTTGATGCTGCCCTAATGGGACGGCTGGTGGTTCGCATGAGAGAACAGGGCTGGCCAGGCTTTCTCATAAGATGGGTCCAGTCGTTCATGTCCGAGCGGTCCGCAAGAGTTCGGTTTGAAGGTACTGTGACCGATATAAAAGCTCTCACTTGTGGGCTCCCACAAGGCTCACCAGTCTCTCCAATCCTCTACATGCTGTATACAGAGCCAATCTGTGCCCGACTTGGCATGAAAAGAAGACGCTTTGGATATGCAGATGACCTAGCAACACTCTGCATTGGAAAGAACCTTGAAGAAACAGCTACAGAGGCTTCTGAAAACCTTCATTTACTCAACCAATGGGGACATAACAATGCTATTGAATTTGATCCCGACAAAACCGAGATCATGCACTTCTCACGCAAAAAGAACTCAGACAATCCCCCAGTTTGCCACGGAACAATGAACAAAACAGCTAAGCATTCCATGCGATGGCTAGGTGTCCTTCTGGATAGGAAACTAAACTTCAAAGACCATGTTTCTTACTGGGCCAAGAAAGCTAGTAGGGTAGCAAATCACCTTCGAGGAC